TTCTTATGCTGGCTATGTTATTAATGGATATACCTTCTATACTAAAGAGCAAGATAGTCGAAGCACAATGCAAAATAGTGGTGTCACTCTTATTGCTCATGCGATGCATGTAACTAGCTCTAAAGACAACAACCTAATATATGCAAATATGTCATTTTTTGGGGTAATTGAGCACATTTGGGAGTTAGATTATGTAAAGTTTTAAATTTCAGTCTTCAGTTGCAAGTGGGTTGACCATAAAAATGACTTTTTAATTGATGATAACTTAGGGTTGATACAGGTGAATCTGAACAAAGAAGGGTATAAAGATGAGCCTTTCATCCTTGCTTCATAGGCTTGACAAGTGTTCTATGTTCCTGATCCCGCTAAAACTAATTGGTCCATTATTTTATTGACAAACAAAATCATTGAAGACATGGATGATACTGTTGTTGAGGATGATTCATTTTTAGGAATGTTGCTTGAAAGTAATTTCACTGAAAGTGATACGTTCTATATGAGAAATGATCATACTGAAGATATTTAGATATCAAAGAGAAGAAAAAGAATTTAAGACCAGAGTAAGCAAGGAAAAGATCAAAAGAAGACAAGAAAAAGGAAAAGACCAACTTAAACATGTGTGTTTTTATTTTGTAAATAATTATTACTTGTGTTTATTTAATTATCGCATATGGGTTTCTATTTTCTAAATAACTGTTACATGTATGTTTGGTTAATTTTGTAAATAATTATTTCATGCGTCTATTGATTTTCTAATTATGTGTGTTCTTGCATTTTATAGGTAAATGGCTCTTAAGAAAGGTAAACGCAAAGGTTGTAATGATCTTGATGTTCTTAGGGGTGGCCCTAGCATTGACCCCAATAGTAGTCCCAGCGTCGACCCCAGTGGTGGCTCCAGTATCAACCCCAACAGTGGCCCTGATGTTATAGCTAATGGTGATGCTCCTAGTGCTACTCCTAGTCTGACAATGAATGATGATCAGCTTCAGGAGGAGGCAACTACGATTAGAAAGGGCTTAGTATTAATGACAGAAGTGAATAGACGGAGGATAGCTGGACAAAAATATCCCCTCCAATGGAATGCTAAAGGGCAACCGATTAAGGACAATAAAGATAAATTCATCAACTATATTGGAGCTGTCGCAAGAGCAAATGTGCCTATCACACTCAAAAATTGAAAGAAGGCAGATCAATCTACGAGGCAGTATATTTGGGAATAAGTAGAGGTATATTTGTTAACTTACCATTATGTGACTGTTGTGCCTATAATAGTTTATCAATTTACTAATAACATGCTAATATTTTGCAGTCAGCTTTATAATTGATGCTAGTCAAAGGAAGTATGTCCTCCAAATACTGGGAGAGCAATGCGTTCTTTTCAATATTTTGTGGGATCAAAATATATTAAAAGAGCAGGTGGAAACATTAGTTCTAAGGTCCTCACTTTAATTAGACCTTTAGTAACCCAACAACAATGGGATGAATTTGTTGCATATTGTTTTCAAATGGAATTTCAGGTGATTTTACTTTACCAATTGATTTTAATTTTCTAATAATATTATGCTATATTATAATTTAATTGATTTTAATTTTTTTCACAGCAATTGAGCCAACAAAATCAAGAGTTGGTTAAGAAAAATCCTTATCCTTTTAAGAAAGGGCATGTGGGGGTATTCAGGCATAGAGGAAAAGATGGTATTTATTAATTACTAATTTATTAATTTTAAAATTACTCCACATTTATTTATTATATTTGCTATTTGCTAATTCTTTTGCTATTGACATGCATAGATTGAGCGAGAAGGCACAGGAGTTAGTAGTATATCCCGCTATGTTCTTTTTATAAAAGGCTGAACCAACAAAGAGGGTAACATTACAGATGAGCATGTTCAGGAGATAGCTAATAAATGTGTAAGTGTCAATATTATTAATTTGACATAGTAAATTCAATTTTTTCATTCAAACAAATAATTTAAGTTTTTCAATTTGTGTCACATAGGTTGCTATCTCAAATGAAGTTTCAAAGGGTGAGTATCCAAAAGATGAATATATCTTGGGTCAGGCATTAGGTAATCCTGACCACCCCGGACACATTAGGGATGTTGGTTTTTGGTGTCACTAAGAAGCAAGTATTTAGGGCTACAAAGCCATCAAAAGGTGCAATGCCTTCTTCAGCTAAGTTTAATGCACTACAAGATGAGGTTGATAGGCTGCATCGGTTAGTTGATGTGTTGCTCACATCCCAAGGAAAGACATCCACTCCTGTGGATATTAGTCCCAATAGTAAGAGAGACAGTTGCATTGTAGCTCAGCCTTCTCATCCGAACCTTCCTGAGGTAATATTAATATTTGTTTAGTTATATTCATTTTTGTATTAATAACTTATAAATGTTTCCATTGCTTTAGGGTGAAGCTGAATGTGAGTTTTTGGCAAACAGTCCAGATTGCTGTGTGGTTGCAATTGGTTTAATGTATAATGTCCCTGGGGGCACTATACATAATGTGCTAATTCCTTTAGGCCATGTACGAGTTTGTCTAAAAGTTTCTTTGGATGACAACTATCAGCTGCCCATTTCCATGGAGGATGTGATGATTGTAGGAGATGCATTGGGCACCTTTATTGCATGGCCCACCGCCCTTATAAGGCCAATATCTAACAAAAATAAGTACATATATATATATAATTTGTAAAGCTGATCTTAAACAAAGATAAGGTATCTATATAATAACTTTTGATCTCTAACTATCTCTAGTATATAGTCCAAGAAAAAAGACTTCCCTAGCAAACAATCAACTGGCCATGAGTCAAAGATTATCGCACCTCCCCTGCTTTAAAAGATAGAGCTTCAATTGTCACATAAATTCCTAACTTCACTAGGGGCATATGCTGACATGCAAAGGAGTATTCATGATTTTATTGCTATAGACGTCCCATTCGAGCGTGGCATGTATGACAGAGATCATACGAATCACATAACACTCGAAGTCATAGATGAAGTACTCCACCATGGCATGATTAGCACGACCGTCATGAATTTTTATTTGAGGTACTTTTTGCGTAAGAGTGATCATTATTTTATAAATATATACTAATTTGTTTGATTTATTAATTTTAGGTTTCTCTATCATACACTTGTCATGCCCCGCAACCTTACTAGGATATTTGCCTTTATTTGTCCTTATGACATTGTTGCTTTCTGAGACATTTAGGACTCTGATCGTGAAGATCAAGCAAAACGGCTGTGCGATTCATTCAAAGCCAGGACTACTAAAAAAGGGAGGAGGTTATTCTTGATACCTTACGTGCAAGTATTAGTTATTTGTTATATTTAATATGTTTTCTCAATTTTATTAACTATTTCAATTTGTTATATATTCTTTACAATTGTTAATTATGTTAAGGATAATTGGATGCTGATTGCCCTTGATCCGGCTGAATAAAATATGAGAAATTGGCCACCTATTACTTGTGTTCTGCTGGTAGACAACTGGATAATCGTAAAGATATGATGGAATTAATCAACAAGTAAGTGTATTAATTAAGTTCATACTTGTTTTTTGATATTTCAAACTACCAACTTCTGTGTTTTTAAGGCTGTGTTTTTATACCGCATGGATGAATCTTTAACTGTCCCTAGGGTCAAACCATTTGACCAATTGTTCACATGGACAGTAATAAGGGTACATGTTTAAACATTAATTGTTCAAGTATTTATTAATGATTATTCAATAATTTAATATATTTTGTTTGTTTTGTTTTTAAAGTGCCTACATCAAAGACCAAATTCAGTGGACTGTGGATATTGCGTGATGAGATTCAATAGGGACATCATCACTCACGTCAAGACTTCAATTCTTACCAAGGTTCATATTTAATTTAAATATACGTTTTATATATGACAAAATTTCATTAGTTAACTAATTAATTTTGATATGGTTATAATTTAAATTGCAGTATTATGATGACACTTATTGTGAAGAATTTGGGGATGCTCACATCAATGAAGTTGTGGAAAAGTGGTGCCAACATATATTTCAACTTTGGATCATACAAAATTCACGCATTTAGTGAGTGCACATTTGGTCTAGCTTGAAGACAAAAAGAATGTGGCTTAGGATAGAATTATTGTTTCATTTTTTAGGATAGAATTGTGATTTAGGATTAAGATTTGCAACTTTTTTGTTTATAATTAATGTGACTGTGTATATATTCATATATATATATATATATATATGTACATGTTCTTTTAATTCTAAAAGAATATTACTGATGATAATATATATTTGTTAGATTGTCTAAATTATGAAATAATGTCAATTCTATTGCAGGGGACCTGCTTAAACGCAACTGCCATATAAAAAAAAATTCTGCAACACATTTGATGGTTATTTTGATAACCATCAAATATGTTAATATATTTGACAGTTATTTAGCATAATTGTCAAATATATACATAAACATTTGATGATTCTCACATCTAACCGTCAAATATGACCTTGTTTTTTCAATCAAAGCAAGTTCTTGTACCTTATACTTGACAGTTATTTAGAACCGTCAAGTATATCAAGCTGCATAAATGACGGTGTCTTATTTGACGATTTTTAACTGTCAAATATAAAGGAAAATAACCATCAAATATGCATAATTCTGTAGTAGTGTAAAGTTAGTTAATGCTTTTAATTTTTTAAAATTATTGTTAATAAAGTTCATTAAATAGATCAAGACAATGTGTTAGTTAGAAGGTTGTTTTTAATAGTTAGGGAAGATCACATCAAACGACATTTAGGGGGAAAAAATTTTAGGCAACTTGCAAATGTCTTATAAGAACAACAACGGAAAGAAAAAAAAAAGAAAATTTACTAGACATTAACATCTTGAAAAAAATACCACCCAGCACTTGTATCCACTGATAAGGAGATTATTCTAATTTAACTAATAATTTTGAGTTCAAGTTTTAAATATGCAGTAGTGATTAAATTCTTGGTGGGAAGCATGCCTCTAAAAGAAGTATCCTTAAACTGCCAACTGCATTAATTTGGGTCAAATACATGGCATGCCAAAGTTCATGCATGAAAAAAAACATCCTGAACAAAATTAAAGGCACATTCTAATTAACTAGCTTCTTTCTTCATGTTTTCAATGAAGGCCTTCAAATTAAGATCTTCCTTCACATCATCATCCCTTCCAATAACAATATCATGCAAATTCATTAACCTAATTTCCATTTCCACATCTTCCATCACCATTCTTATTCCTTCTTCCACATCCTTCAGTCCAAGTCCATTGAGCCTCATACCTACCTTCCAAACTTGAACAATGTAAGCACAATTCAAGAACTGATCACCTGCCACAGGATAACACAGCATCTTTTTCTTGAACTGTATAGCCTCTATCGTTGAGTTCCATCCACAATGTGTCAAGTAACACGCCACGGACTGGTGTCTCAGAACCTCCATTTGTGGTGCCCATGAAACCACTTTTCCTTGATGCTTTGAAACCCTTTCTACAAACCCATTTGGTAACCCTTCAAGCCATGCTTTCTTAAGAACCCAAAGGTAAGGCCTTCTTGATGCTTCAAGTGCCATTGCTAAACTTGTGAGCTCTGCTTCACCAATTGGACTCACCCAACTCCCAAATGAGATGTAAATGACTGAGTTAGGATTTTGAGTATCTAGCCACTCCAAACAGCTCTTGTCTTCTTCCCAGAAGCTTGGATTGTTGTTTGTTTGTATGTGATTGAAAAGATGGCCTACGGGCAAAAGACTCATTTGAGAATTCTCGAGTTTGGTTTCTTCGGAAAAGGAATTGACGAGGAGGTATCTGAGAGTTCTAGATCTTTCCAGAGTTCTTTTCCAAAATTTAAACCTTGCCTTCTTTGCAGCCACTGTTCCAGTAAGCCATGGAAGATCTTGGGTGTCTAGTATGGGCATATCTGGTAAAGAGCAAAATTTTCCTTCATGTTGTGGAAGTCCTGTAGGCAAATATATCAAAGATTTTGGATTAGATTCTTCAAATTATTGCATTCATATATATATATATATATATATATAGGAAAAAGAAATAATCATACAATTGCAAGTAATAAAAAAATTATGCTTGCTTTATTATGATTTATATAAACTATTGAAATATGCACTTTTTTGTAAATTAAATATTGAGTTTTAGTTTCTAGTTTGATAGTAAAATATATAAAAATATATACACTTTAATTTTGTCTCTTAACTATAAGAACATAAGATTAAGAATTTTGGATTCATGTTAAATTGTCTGTAGCCGAATATAACCATAAATCTAGCTAAGTTTGTTAATAACACTATCCAATAAATAATGTCGTTCAATGATAAAATATGATTGACTCATATTTAGTGTTATGATCACAACGTCAAAAAATCTTTAAAAAACAGTGGTTTATGCAAATACCAGACTTTCCTCGTTAATAGCATCTTTTCGGATGGATTTTTTGTCAAAAGTAAAAGTTCCTTAGAAATGGCCCTGGGTAGTTCAGATATTAGTTTTCTTCATGATACCTGCCTCCGGATGAAAATTAAGAGAGAAAGACAAATAATGACCTTATAAGAATATTAATGTCAAGTTGGGATCTCTTCACAATTAAGACTTCCAAATTCATAACTCATTTTCCCTTGTTTTAGTGTTGAAATCTTTAAAAAAATCTTGATTTGATATTAATCTTTTTATGAGATCCTTACTTATCATTTTTCCATGAATTAAATGAAATAAGTAAGGGATCAAGATCAATCCCCTTCCACTTACAGGTGTTGTATGTATCGATCAACTGGTAAGAAATAATTCTCTGAGTTTCTTGATAAATAAATTGAGTTAAATAACTATGCATATACCTGTTTCCGAAATGAGGCCACACCGAACCATTTCAGGCATGGAAGCAATCAATCTGTAAGTCGCAAACATGACAGGCCAAAACCCAGCAACAACGATACCACACTTGTGGCCAACTTGTATAGCCCAAGAAGCCAGCAAGTCAACCACCACACAAACCACCGTGCCGCCACCGCCATCTTGAAGCTTCTGAATCAACTTCGCCAACTGAGAAGGCATGGTGTTCTCCATGGCTGATTCAATCCCAAAGAAATCTGCTGTGGTGGTGTCCTTCTGATCAAACCCATCAGATACACCAACCCACTTGATCTGATCATCAAGATGATGATGATGAGCCATAATCTGATTGTAGATGTATTGAGGAAGAACCATTATTGGTTCGAACCCAAGGTTGAGAAACGCCATGGCTAGCTTCTGCATGGGATTTACGTGTCCCTGAGCTGGATATGGCACCATAATGATTCTTGGCTTCTTTGAGCTCCTCATATTTCCCATCTCAGGCAAGCAATTATCTTCACAAATATAAGGCATGCTAGTGAGATAAATTACTGTTGGCTCACTTTTAATTGCTCATGGTTTGGTTTAGTTTAATTGAATGTAACACCATATATATATATATATATATATATAAAAGGTAGCAAGGTACTAGTCAACTAACTATGTGCATGCATGTGAAGTGTGAACTAGGAGGTTTAACTTATATGTTTATTTATTAATTAGTTTAGTGAAGCTTATTTTATACTATACAAATACACACTGATAGAACAGTCAACTTGCACGTGCCTAAATGAGTTATATATTTTGAATTTGCAAACACGCACCCACACTCCACCGCTGGTCACTTTATGGCCGGTGCATTAATTATAAAATTTCTTATGGATTGCGATCCACTCCAATAACTCATGGATATATAGTAGGATTTATTAATTTTTTTTATAGGATTAAAGAATATTCTTGACCCTCAATTATTTGTTGAGCAGCGTCTAACATCCTAAATTTACATATGATGTAATTTTTTTCTTTAACATTTAAAATGGTGTATTGGGTTTCCTGTAACTTTGACAATTTTGAATTAAAAATTGCAGAAAGTGAAAAATTACAAAAAAGAACCCAAAAATACATATAAATACCTTATAAAAAATTAATATCAATTAAACCCCTAAAATAGTGTGATAATTTATAAGTTTTTTTTAATTCATAAATCCTCCATAAATTTTCAGCTATTTTGAAAAAAGTGTTCATTTATAAATAACACAATTTGTAGGGAGATTTATAAATTATCATACTATTTTATGAACTTAATCAGATATTTTTTCTTATAACTAGGGTACTTATTTGTAATTTTATGTTATTTTCTATAATTTTTAATATATTTTTTTATAATTTATTGGGTTAATTAACAGTCAAATTAACTTTTTTTATCAGCAGGGTGCCTAACATATTATTTTTAAATGTTGAAGAAAAAATTGTATAACATTTAAGTTTAGGATACCAGAAGCTTGAACAAATAGTTTAGAGGCAACAATCCTATTAACCTCTTTTTTATATTATATAAGTTTAGGAGTATTCTGTTTGGTTCTTATTATAAAGACTGTTAATTATTAATTATTTTACAAGAATTAAGAAATTTAGTTTTAATCAGTTAATGTTTTTAATTTTTAAAATTACCCTTAATGAAATTCATTAAATAGAGAATAATAGTCAATGAGTTAGAAAATATTTAGTTAATTATATTACAAATATGAAAACAAAGTATTAGTGTTAAGTCATTTTTTCAAATTTCATTCGACATAGAAGATATCTAGTTTTTAACAAAAGCAAAAAGGAAAACGCGTTTTTTTAAATCGTGGGTATTAAAACGTGTGTGAATATTTTTATTATAATTTTAAATCAAAGCATGATTTGATGCCTTAAGGAATCGTGTTTTCTACAACCTCCGCAAATAGAGTGCGTTTCTCTTGCGGTCTGACTATTATTATATGATCCACTTGTGAACATTTTTCTGGGTGGGAAAGTGGGTTAGCTCCAATATAGATCATATTTATATACGTTATTGTGAGTTTTTTTTTTGTTTAATTCCAAATTGCATTCAAATCTTGAAAGCATATTCTCAATGCAAAATATTTTTAAAACACTTGTCACACCACATATATATATATACTCCCTCTATTTTTATTTATAGGAAAAACTACTATTTGTAATTTATTTTTTATATAAACAAAATCACATTTTTTAATGGACATTTATTGCAAACCTTTTAAATTACTCCACAGTCATAAGAAATAATTAATGAAGGTTTAATTTACACAAGTAATAAAGGGTATTGTAGTCTAATTTTTTTAAACATAATTAATATAGCTAATTGATTTTCTTAAATTATGTGTTACATAAACTATAGACCTATGAGTATATAGGAAGCTAAACTCGTTTTTAGTGCATTTTCATCCCTTCCTTGCTATTTAATTTTGACTAATAGTTAACTAGAAAATTTACAAAAAAATAATCTTAAAAATTACAGAAAATGATTAAAAGAATCATATAAAAGGATCCAAAAATTATGAGTTATAATTTTTTTGGGTCATTTTATGTAACTTTTGGGTCATTTTCTCTGATTCTTAGTCTTTTTTGTATTTTTTTAATCAATTAAGAATCAAAATTAATAGCAAGTGGTGATTACCATGATTTTAAAAATGCTTAGAGATAAAAATGTATAAAAAATAAATTTAAGGTCCCAGATATTCTAAGACCTATCCTTTAAAGGTTAAAGGTTAAATTATCATTTTAGCCCATTTTATATACATATACACCCATTTACTAATGCAGGTATGATTTCGTTTGCATAAAGCCAACACACATCAGCATCTCCGGTTTGGTAACCTGTTATATTTTCAGAATAGTTCTTTTAAAAAAAAAACAAAAAAAAACTTATTTAAAAATGTGTTTTATGTTACTTCCTCCGTTAAAAAATATAAGACATTTTTAACCAAATCTTACTTTTTAATAAAGTAGTTACTTACTTTCAAACTAATCCTATTTTTTTATATTTACACCTATTAAATATCCTATAATAAATATAAAATTATTATGAATAAAAATACTTTAAAAAAAAGACAATGATTGCACCTCAAATGATTAAAAATATTTTATATTTTTTAACATTTAATTTTTTAAAAAAATACTTTATATTTTTAAACAAAAGGAGTATTTATTATGAAAAACAAAAAAGTTTAAAATTGTTCTATAGAACTAAAAAACTATAACATCTTTTAGATGTTTTATTACTTTTTATTCCGCAAAACTATCGGAAAGGTATAAAATATTACATTTTCATTAATGATAATTATATTAGTAAAATAAATATTTTTATCATTTATTTCATCAATTTATATTTTTTTAAATAATGATTCAAACATATTTTCTTTCATTTTTTTAAACTTATTCTAAAAATCATTTTATAAAATTATTTTGAGAACATAAAAAAAAAAATAAAACAGAATCAGACAAGTTCAATGTTCGCACCACCAAACAAAAGGGCCATGAAAACTTATATTGATTTGCACTTTATAATATTTTAATATTGGCGTGTTCAAATAGAGTGCGCGAGGATATACATGAACCTTTATTGGTTAGGCATGAATCCATCTTACACTGTGAAAAGGAATTCAGCGAGATAGCTTTTCTCTCTTTCACAACCACACTCTAGTACTTTACATTATATATGCTGACGAGATTAGGGAGAGGGAGAGGTGCGACTAGACTGGGCATGGGCCAAGGATATTTTGTTTGTATGTATTTTTTTTAAAAAAATATAATTTTAAATTTTTATATTTTAGTCTAATTTTGCTATATGTTTCTTTATTTTTTGAGTATTCTAAGTCCTTTTACTTCTATTTTTCAATGCTTTAGGTACTTTCATGAGTTGTGTTACAGGATCTAGAGCATTAAAAAATAAAAATATAAAGATTTAAAACATTATAAAAAAGCATAGAATTTGTAGTAAAATTTGAGTAAAGCATTGAGATCTAAAATCATATTTTTCTGTATTTTTTAATAATAAAAACGGTGCCATTTTGAATAAATGGAAGAGAAATGGAGCTAAGGGAATTGAAGACACCCTGCGCCCTGAATGAATGACCAATTTGGTACCAAGTGTTTTGAACAATATTGGAATTAGTGACTAGAGTAATGATGAGGTTAGTTCAATGGATTAGGAGTGTATTAGGTTACCTCCAATCTCACTTAGTTCAATTGAAGACAACTCATCTCAAGTATGTAACACAAACATCAATTTAGATATAAATTCATGGGAAGTCTCACATGCTAACACAACCAATGCAAATATACATTTCCTTCACAAGACAACTTAGAATTGTTTCCTTTTCTTAATAAATTCTAATTTAAAATGAATAAATTAAAATTAATTCCACAAATAAAATTTACTTATAAAAAAAATAAGATCAAAGCTTTAGTAAAATTTGAATGCAAAGTCATATTTACGCCTAAAATACCCTTTATGTAATGAGACCCAAATTCTTATAAAAATTAATCTAAAGGAGCGCATGAATTAATGCATAAACCAAGTGTAAAATGATGTGAAATGTATGTAAGAAATCTGGGCAAATACTTCATCTTTGTATTTTAAATTATTTATCTCTATTTCTAAATAAATTGTATTAAATTTTAGATTGAAATTGCTTTACAAAGTTTGTAAATAATTGTATCATTCCAATACATAAAATTAAAAATATGTTAATTTATTAACATTGTTTAACTATAATTCGACTAATAAATCATGAACCATACTGTTATACTTGGTTAAATAACTAATCTAGTTTTTAAAACCTTACTCATATAAATATTTTTACAATGCTTATCGTACCAGAAATATTTATAATGCTTAGATTGCTAGCACTATAAATAAAAATTAAAACAAACAACACTGTCTCCGATCGGAAATGTCAACATAAATACTGTTTCAGCAATTTGTCAATAGAATCCCAAAACAAATCTGGGGAACTTCTTTTCGTCCCCTCCTCTGTCATCATCAAAACACTAAACAAGCAACAAACAAAAATAAAAATGAAACTCAACTCTTAATTAAACTCAAATTGATCTCTATATATTTTGTAATTTTTTGAATCAATTAATAGTCAAAATTCACTTTATTTAATAACATGGTGTCCAGTGAACCATTTTTTAAAGTTGAAGGAAGAAATTATACTGCGTATAAGTTTAGAATGCAGAGGGAATCGTTGAAAGCCCTTAAACTCTTAAAACCCATAAAAACTTACAAAAATGAATCTCAAAACTCGTAGATGCTACTCAATATATTACAGCCATTTCACAACGCACACCACATAGAAGAGATTTCTTCAAAAGAGAGAGAATCACCCACATACCCACACATATACAATAGAAGAAGAACACGAAAGACTAACATTAATACATTATGATTGATCGAATCAAACATTATCAGTGTTGTCTGGCTTTGAATGATGAGGAGGAGGAGGAGGCGAAGGGAAAGAATTTGGTGGAGGAGTGGGCACACCAAAGACTTGAGGATTGG